ACATGCCTGTGGGCCTCGATCTTGAATTGGGCTTCCCAATGACTGAGGCCAAAGGAGACTTACTCTGCAAAGGAAATTGTTATGTTGTTAGGAAAAATAAGGGCGGATATTGAGTAGTAATAAACCACAAGTGTATACCAGTTACAAATCTGATACTTTCTGTCTAAATGCTAGCATTTTCAGAACCCTTAAAAATGCCCCCACTGAGATCTACTCTGGTTAAAGTTAACATAAGAATTCCCAGAGCCAGGGCCCCGACTGAAACCAAAGAACTTGTACAGGAGCAAACGAAAACCTACCCTCTGTGAGCGCTCTTCCGCCTCGCTGCTCCTCTGGGCTCTGCTCCCTACCTGGCATCGGAGTCAGGTGCTTCAGTGCTTACCTGTCTCAGGCAACTTCATAGGACATCATGTCCTGCCTCTTTATAGTGCCATTACTCCCCAGACCCACCTGACAGCCCCTCTTTGCCCTGCCCCCTCCCTTCTGGTTAGCTCAGTCTTGTTAATAACAATACTCTAATTGTTGGCCAATATAAGTCTGCCCCCCCCAAATCAACATGGGATGCTTCATATGGGCTGGGAGTCTGTTCTGAGTTATGCTCCCCCTTGTTACCAGTTGACGCTCTTGTGGGTGGGTATGGTTGCTTTTCATGGTGGTTCAAGGTGGCATCATTCCATTAATAATCCGTGTGAATGGAACACTGAAATTGTGCCATACGCAACCCCACCAACTTTAGGCAGTGTCTGCGCCTTCAGCAGCTAAGAAGGAGGAAGCTGCTTTTCAAGTAATCATGAGACATTTCCAAGTACAGCTAGTCCTGAGGTCAGCCAGGTCTTGCCCACTTCTGATGTTTTGTTCCTTCCTCTGCTGGTGGCTTTGTGAAGTGTCAGCTTGGCCAAGCTGAACTACACTTTCCAGGATCCTTTGGTTCTCAGTGTGTAGGTCAGTAAGGTGCTTTCATAGCTCACTTATGTCTTGGGTTCGCCGCACTGGTATGGGGCCACCTTCTCATGGATCCTGCTTCAGCTTCTTCGACTCCTGGGACAGGTGTATACTTTGGCCCTATGATGAAGGGTACCAACTAATCCTTGAGGGCACCCACATCACCAGGGTCAGAGGCAGTGAGACCAAACATGGCTCGAGTCTGTATCCTTATAGGTGCTAGTTTGTACTCAGAGATTCCAGTTTGTCCTTGCTCTCTCTCACTCCTCATCTATCTGCCCTTTGGGACTGCTTGTCCTGAAAATTTCAAACTTCAACATCAGATGCAGATAATGTAAGGCCATCAGATAATGGCCTTACAGAGACTGTTTAATCAACCACATGCCTGGGACGAGTTCTTTAATATATATACACCTCCCAGTGAACCTGCTTCCTTAATTGAACCCTGACTGAAACACCTACCAGGGAAGTTTTATTCCTAGAAGATGCATGCTTAGGGTCTTATTTTGGATTCCCCCAAGAACCCTGATATATATACTTGGGGGCAAGTAGTTTATTTGGGAGCTAGTTCTAGGAAGCAGAAGTGAAGGAACAGGGAGAGTGAAATCAGTGAAATCATGAAAAGCCAGCAAAGAACATATTATTTACAAGCTGCCAGTTTAGGCAGTGGGGTTCAAGTCCACTAGTGCATCTGAGATGTGTACATACTTATCCTACTAGCTCCAGTCACCCACTTAAGGGTTGCCCTGAGGGTGTTAACTATCCCATGGTTTCAGAATTCACCTGCTTGAGGCTGAGTGGGTTCTTGTGTTGTTAGAGAAAGCTTTGAGGCAGAGAGTTTCTGGATTTGGGGCAGTTGTTTGAAATTGAATGGTGTCAGTATGCCCAAGCTACTGAAGTCACAGTCATGGTTGAGCTTGAAAAGCTGTGACTTGGGCACCAGAGGCACCTGTTATCCCAAAGCCATAATTCATAAGATCAAGTCTCATAGATGCCAATGGGTCAGGAGGAAACATAAAATGGCATTAAACTCATATTTAAAAATGAAAATAAATAAAAGGTCTAGAGCTTTCTAATTTTCTATTATGAGATTTATTATGAACACACACGCACTTTTCCAACTCTCTTTTTACCATCTCCTTAATTCCTAAATTACTTTCCTTCATCCTTCTAGAAAAAAAATTTTCTGCCGCTCTATTCTCTGCTAAGCAGATGCTTCTCGAACTTTCCAAGCAGCCCTCTCTAGCAACCTAAGTGAAGGCTATTAAAGGGCCCATCTATAGCTTTTTAAAAGTAAAAATAATGCTTTATGTTAAAAAAATATAAAACTAATATACACATGTTTAAAACATGGTAGCTCAGCATGTTAGCTGAGCTGTCAGCATGTAACTAGCAAGTGGTTGTTGGCTTACTAGTCACAGGGAAAGGTCAGAGGCTTGATGGTTTGGGCAATGCCTGTCATTTAATGCTGCATTTAATTACCATCAGGTCAACTGCAATTTCTTATCCCTATTTTCCCACCCTGTGACCTTCACTTTTTTTGTTTTCTACTCCAGTATCAGTGACAAATCAAATAATCTATCTTAGTCTCAGTTTGGGACTCTGGTGCCTGTATGTCAGTATTGTGCTTCTTTCTTGGCAGTATAGCATTCCCAGTGGGAATACTCTGGGAGGGACAACCTCTTAGATACACAAGATTTCCATTTCCCAAATGGATACTGACTTGGATATCCAAATGGGTAGCAATGACTATCACTTGATGCTCAGAACCTCCAACCTAGGTAAGAACATCAGGGACAACTCTTCGTGGGATAGATGAGAAAGCTGAGGCCCTGAGAGAAGAAATGAATTATCCAAATCCTAACAAAGCATTCATGGCCCTGCACATAGTGGGCCCTCAATAATCATTTGGTTATTGTGAGAAACAGGTAAGTATCATGGTTAAGAGCACAGCCTTTGAGGTCAGACAGATTGGGGGTCATACTCTGCCTTTCACTAGGTTAAGTGCTATTGGGCAGGTGACTTAACCTCCCTGAGCCTCAGTGTCCTTGACTGTAAAGTGGGAATAATAATAGCACTTGTGTGTACGTTGTTGAGAGAATCCAGTAAAATCATGAGCTGTGTAGAATGTTTGACAGAAAATAGAAGTAACTGATGATAATAATGCAGAATTAGCCTGGCCTGGGCACTTGGGAACTTAGATTATTCTTTATCTACCTGACCTCTAAGAATTTAGCAACCTTCCCATCCACTGGCAGGTAGACAGGAGCACAGGGCTCCCAGTGCTATTTTTCTGCCCTGCTGATAATTGTTTCTTATACAAGCCAGTGTTTTATTGATTGGTCATTGATCTCTGCATGGGACCAGGGAAATACTTGGGCCATGAAGACACAGGCAGCATTTTCCAGGCCAGGGGTCCCCAGTGGGTGTTGGGGCATCACCTGCTGTCTTGAACGAGTGGCCTCTGCCCTGCTTAGGACAACTTCTCCACCAGAAGCATCTGCCCCTGTGGCCCCTCCCTCCTGTGCCCCTTCATTGCTTCCATCAACCCTTCGCCTGCTGTCTTCATTGGACCTTTAATAAGCACCGCTTTTGTGCAGAGCTGCCGATGAGTTATTGCAGAGTGAGCAGCTCCCCAGGGCAGGCTACCTCCCGAGCCCCTGGCCTCACTGCAGCTTGTAAGGGAAAATTACATTTTGATCTACATTTCCCATTTCTATTCTCTGTCACCTGGCTTTGGAGACAAAAGGAAGAAAATAATTTTTTTTTCTCTCTCTCTCCCACCCTGAATTATGTCTCTGTGCTCCTTCTTCCCTTTCCTCTTTCTCTATTCTGTACTGATGGTCAGTTGTGGCAGATAAAGTCAACAGGCCAGAAGTTCTCACCTAGGTCATCCTCCCTTGGACATTGGGATCATCAAAGCCCAAGAGGTCATACAGACTTTTCCCAACTCCCACTTTGCCATCTCTTTAAATCATAAATTTCTTTCTTCCATTCTTAAAAAAAAATTTTTATCTGTAGTTCCCTTCTCAGGCAACACCACCTGAAAATCAGCAGATGGATTTTGAGATGAATAAGCAAGCCCTTCTTCCACAGGCCTTGTGGTGCCCCTAGTGATTGGTTCTCACCACATCCTCTACCTCTTCTTTCTTTTTCCCTTTTAAAAATTCAGATAAAAGTCATATAGCACAAAATTCACCGTTTAAAATCATTTAAAAATGTACAATTCAGTGGTTTTTACAATAGTCACAGTGTTTTGCAATCATCATCACTATCCAATTTTCATTCCCATTCTCATCACCTCAAAAGGAGACATCATGCCCATTAAGCAGTCCATTCCCCTTTCCCTCCTCCCCTCAGCCTCTGGCAACCACTGGTCCGCTTGCTGTCACTGATGGATGTGCCTATTCTGGACATTTCTTATACATGGTATCATATAATATGTGACCTTTCATGAGTGGTTCCTTTCCTTTTGCATAATGTTTTTGAGGTTGATTCATATTTAGCATACATCAGTGTTTCATTCTTTTTATGGCTAAATAATATTCCATTGTGTTGAAATATCACATTTTGTTTATTCATTCATTCAAGTTGTTTCCACTTTTTGGCTGTTATGAATAATGCTTCAGTGGGCATTTATGTCTAAATGTTTGTTTGAACATATGTTTTTGATTCTCTTAGCTAGAAGTGAAATTGCTGGGTCTTATGGCAGTTCTGTGTTTAACTTTTTGAGGGACAGCCAAATCATTTTCACAATGACCAATGAATCTATTGATGGTGAGTCAGTTAGGGTGGTGAAGGGCCTAGAATTGTGTTATCTGGGAGAAAGAGAACATTATTTGGGGAGAAGGGAAACTCTCCATGTGAACCAATGTGGTTAAGTCAGACTGAGAGATTAGGGTAGTAATAGGAAATGAGGTCAGAGAGCTGACCTCAAATATATGGAAGGTAAAGACTCTGTGCTGCTCTTCAAGAAAGAAAAAAAAAAAAAAAAAAAAACCTTGAATGCTAACTACTTCTTATCCTCCAGGTCTTAACTTAAATGTTACTTTTTCCAGGGTGTCTTCTCTGAACCTCCTCCTCGCCACCTCCAAGGCTGAACAAGGTCATCACACTCTCTTGTCTCATCTCCACTTCTTTGAGAACTTTTGTGAAGGCGGGTCCAGGTCCAACTCATTCTCTGGTGTTTCTTCAGTACCAAGAACAGCTCCAGGCTCACAATAGGTGCCTAATGTACCTTTGCCTGATGAAAGAAGAAACAAATGAGTCAGAAGGTGGAAGTTTAAAAAGAAACAGATGTGGATTCTATTAAAACACTATGTAATATTGAACCATGTACAACATGGGCTGCTGTGAAACAAGCTGCTTCAAAACTGCTGGCTACACAGATCCCACTCTTTTGCCTTCGGGTCCCATGAATTTCTATGATATCAGTGCTTCCTAAAACCTGTGGCTTTATCCTGCATTCCTTTTCCTTCTCTCTGCATTTTCCTCCACCAGGAGGGACCCAAATGGTCCTCTAAAGAGGAGAATATAATGGAGTAGAATTGATTTTCTATCTGCTATGAAAACAAATACAAGTCAGAATATTTAGGAGGTAGCCAGAAGCATAGATTTTTGGCTCCTCTCGAACTCTCAAGTATTTATTTCCTTAATAACACTTACTATTTATTGAGCACTTATCAAGCACAAGACACTATATTGTAAACTCAACATGTAAATCACCCATCCTCAAAACAGCTCTGCTAGGTGGGAATTGTTATCTCCAAACATGAGAGCTCCCGTTTTTTTTTTTTTTTTTCCCAACCATCTTGAAATTCAGAGCTAATATCCAGCTTCTAAAGGAGCTGATCTAACCAGCTTGGTAGAGGCGTCTACAGTAGAATCAGTCAAGTGACCCTAGACAGTGGAGCTGAGTATCTTCTCACACCGTTCAGAGTGACTTGGATGATTCTTTTAAACAGCTCAAGATACTGGATGTGACATCTGTGTTTGACTTAGTCCTGCAGATATATAACACCCAGAAAGCTCCAACAAACAAAGGTAAGGCTTTAATTGTATTATCCTTTTTTTTTAACAGTCTCAAATAAAGGGAAGCGACATTCAGAAATACCTCCTAAATCATTTGAGAGAGATTCAATTATGTTTGCTGTTGTTAGTGTTAACTGTACTTTGAGGAATGCTAATTTTTAAAAAACTTAGTTACTTGGATATGATTTTAAAAAAAACTCTCCCTAATTGAGCAAGCAGTAGTTCCCTCAAACTTTCACTGGTGGAAGAATTCAAGCCCTGAAGCTTAAGGTTTTCTCTGAGCAATTAGGTTACATTGTATAAGGTCACAAGAGAAAGTGTGAGTCCTGATAAATTTCTTATACATAAAATAAAGCACAGGTGGCATCTAAATAAGAAAATCATCAGAGACAGGTTACCCATATTAAATTATTGGGTCATGTATAATTAATCTTCATGCATCATTCTTGGCTCTCTGAATGTTTGGATCTATCTGTGCAAACTTCCAGGTAAGTAGTCAGAGTGGTGGGCTTGAGGGTTGTTCTTAAGGAAATCCAGTCTCACTGAAGTCATGGGTGAGGCCAGGGGCTTTATTCAGGGCCCCTTTGATTGGAGTCAACAGAAACCCATGCCAGTGAGTTCAAGTGCAATTGAAGCTTTGCTGTGAGATTCAGATATCTCATGGGAATCCAGAGAAAGCAGAATAGGGAGCCTCAGGAAGGGCAGGGAGAATTCCTGGAACCAACAGGATGCTAGTTGCAGAGACTCCAGTTGCTTGCCATGTGACCTCAGGTGAGTTACTTTACTTCTCTGTGTCTCAGTCTAAACAGGGAGATGATACTGTATGTGCTTCTGTGTCAAGTAGAATATTAAATGGGATACTGACTATGCCATACTCAACACACACTTTTTGTTCAATAAATGTTATTATTGCTATTGTTACATTTTTCTACATCATTTTTGTGCAGCTGCTCCATCTTCCTTTTGCTTCCTCATGGCTTCCACCTTCACAGTAGCCCTTGAGTCAACATGACTTTCTAAGTTTTAATGTCTGTGACTCCCTTAAAACTGCCCTGTCCTCTTAGATCAAGTTGATGAGAGGGGAAATCTGTCTGACTCGTTACATCCAAATCACAGCCCCTGCCAGCCCATTGGGATCCCTCTGAGTCAGAGACCCTCCCTGGTCCCCAAGTCAGGCGATGGGGTCCACTCAGTAGAACTATGGGTGAAGAGCCGCCCATTAGGGGGCACAGGTGAGCAGCAGATGACAGGAGCTTGTCTAGAAGCACGGGTGAGGTCACTTCCGGCTGGGAAGGAAGAGAAGCCCTGTAATAATGGCCTGTATGAACAAGAGTGTTTGGGGGGGACAGTGGTTACCAGTGTAGCTGATGCAGGCATCGGGGGGAACCATCATGGTGGTTACAGCTTAATTAGAAATGGAGCAGAAAAAAATGTGTGTGTTTCCCTTCTGAGGGAGAGAAGGCAAGAGAGAATTTGATGAATCTGAGTGAAGCATACCTGAGTGGCCAGTAAACTATTCTTTTAATTTTACTATAGGTTTGAAATTTTTCAAAATTAAAAAAAAAAATCGGGGAAAATACAGCTAAGGTGTTTACCAAATAAAGCAAATATTTTCATAATAAATGCAAGTAAACATACAAACATACAAATGAGTAATCAGCAAGCAAGCTCAGGACTCAGCGAATTCCAGATTTGCTTACCTACTCTGTGAGTGGTTTTTTTTCCTCTCTGAGCCTCCATTTCTGCATCTGAGAAATGGGCTCATAATACTGCCTCCTGACCTATTGAGGGGTTTCATTAATTGATAGATATTCAAAGCAGGGCAGATAGTCAGCTGATAGGCATTGGGATAGCTATGCTGGTTATTTGCAGAGAATATCTCCTCTGACTGGTTGTATTGTCCCACTTAATAAATATGTCTGAATATTGTTCTCACTAACTGGGACATAGCTGGAGCCAACTTCATGGGCACTGGTTCTAGTCCCATCATCATTATCCTGATTGTCTTCATCATTATTCCTGAGCCCATCAGTCTCCCCACCCTGGTGACAGGGAAAGGACGAGGCTTCAGGAATAACTGCTCGATTTGGGATAGAGGCAAGTGGCCAAAGCTTTGGCTGTTTTAGGCACCTTAGAGATACTGTGCCATCCCAGTGTGAGGCAGATGAAGAGATTTCCTTAGTGTTTCATGTTGGGCGAGGTGTATTCCCCTGGGCCAGAAGGCATTAGCTCTGTTTGCAAACTAAACACTAGAAGCTGGGAGAGGGACAGAGGCTGTAGGGAGCCAGGAGGATGAATGATGATTCTTGGGCCTGTGTCCCTGTGCTGGAAGGAGGAGCTGTTGGGGAGAGGGGCGGATGAGAGGGGCATGTTTTGGGGTAGGTCCCCAGGTATAATTGGGATGGGTTCAGAGGGATGTTTAAAAGTGCTCATGCTGTTATAATCTGATGTTTCTAATCTCTCCATTGTTGCCTCAGCATCCTTCAAAATAAGCTTGATAAGTACTAGTTTAAACTGTAAATAAACAGATAGATGGATATATGGGGCTGGATGGATTCAGTTGATAGATGAATCTGTGAAATGTGAGACAGCAAGAAAATAATTGAAAAATGAGCAGATGGATCGATTATTTTTTCCAGCTTTATTGAAATATGATTAACATGTAACACTGTGTAAGTTTAAGGTGTACAGTTGGTGATTTGATACACCTATATACTGCAAAATGATTACCACAACAAGGTTAGTTAACACATCCTTCACCTCACATAATTATTTTTTTCAGTGTTTGTGGTGGTGGTATGAATGTTTGAGATATACTCTCCCAGCAACTTTAAAGTCTATAATGAGTATGCTCAGTTGCTCAGTTGTGTCCAACTGTTTGTGACCCCATGGACTGTACTCTGCCAGGCTCCTCTGTCCATTAAATTTTCCAGGAAAGAATACTGGAGTGAGTTGTCATTCCTACTTCAGGGGATACAGTCTAGTTAACTGTAGCCACCATGCTGTATATTAGATGCCCCAGGAACTTATTCATCTTGTAACTAGATGTTTGTACCCTTTGACCAGCGTCCCCTCATTTCCCCCACTCCAAAGCTCCTGGTAGCATCCTGTCCACCCCTTGATTCTGAGTTCAGCTTGTTTAGATTTCATGCATAAGTAAGATCATATAGCGTGTGTCTTTCTGTGTCTAACTTCTTTCATTCAGCATAATGCCTTCAGGATCTCTCCGTGTTGTTACAAGTGGTAGGATCTCCTTTTGGGGGGGGGCTGAGTAGTATTCCAGCGTGTGTATATATATTACATTTTCTTTATCCATTCATCTGTTGACAGACACTTAGCTTGTTTCCGTGTCTTGGCTATTGAGAATAATGCTGCACTCAACATCGGAATGCAGATATCTCTTCACAATAATAACTTCATTTCTTTCAGATATACAGGAGTAGAATTACTGGATCATGTGGTAGGCCTACTTTTAGTTTTTTGAGGAACTTCCATGCTGTTTTCCATAATGATTGTACCAGTTTATTTGCCCATCAGCAGTGCCCACTTCTCTACATCTTCACCAGCATTTGCTACCTCTTGTCTTTTTTTTAAAATAATAGCCATTATAACAAGTGTAAAGTGATATCTTATTGTGATTTTAATTTGCATTTCCCTAATTATTAATGACATTGAACACCTTCTCATGTATTTTTTGGCCATTTTTATTCAGATCATCTGTTCATTTTTAAATAGGATGATGACGATTTTGCTGTTGAGTTTATGAGTTCCTTATATATTTTGGATATTAACTCCTTAACAGATATATAGTTTGCAATTATTTTTTCCCATTCTGTAGGTTGTCTGTTTTGCTGTCACTTATGCTGTCTAGAAGCTTTTTAGTTTGATGTAGTCCCACTTATTGATTTTTGCTTTTGTCGCTGTACTTTTAGTGTCATATCCAAAAAATCCTTGCCAAGACCAATGTCTAAAGGATTTTTTCCTATGATTTCTTCTAAAAGTTTTATGCTTTCAATTTTTTAAAGTCTTTAAGCCATTTCA